GGTTGATCGTGAATGCCAAAATCCGGGGGCATCGTCATTGTATGCACGATCATTGATCGTGCATCGATCCAGGTCCCAATCATTGTTTGAGTCACGTTTTGTATGGTCACGATTTATACTGCCTGTGACAATATTCATTGTATTGGACATTGTTTCAACCTTATTACTAAAGATATGCTTAAATATATTTTTGCAATATGAATTATGAATTGGTTAACTATAATTACATTTTATTTTAATAAGAGCCACTTATCAAAAAATTTACTTGAATCTAAAATTAAAAAAAAAAGTTGCTAGTGGAGGTTTAAAGATATATATTAATACCAATGAACTACAGTATATGAAATGCTTTATTCAATTTATCAACTTGAATCATATTTAAAAGAAGTATATATTTAATTAATATTTATTATTATATATTGTATTATATATAGCAAAATATTATTATTAATTAAATATACTAATTATCGTTATCTTTAAAGGTTATTAATGAAAATTCTAATATTATAACTAATGAAATAGTTCAAACTATTATTTTGTAAAAGTGAAGATTTTTTCAAGATGTTTGTGATTTAATAAATATTCTCAAGCCTGTTAAAAATATGATTGTTTTTTTAGAAAAACAAGATATAAATCTTGCTGATTGCTTTTTTAGACTTGTACAACTTGGAGCAGCTATTAAAACAATATCAAAAATTGAATATAAAATGTTTCGCTATCATTGTATAAAAGTTTTTAATTTTTGCTAGGCCTCCGCATGGGCCTAGGCTACCCATAGGTACTCTTAGAGTAGTATTATATAAGATAGACCGGGGTATTAAATTATAAACCCTTAAAAGGAGATAAGGCTTAATAGGGCTTGAATATTAGTACCCTAGTAGGACTTGAATCTAGATATATCTAGCCCTGGGTATTGAAGGGTACCCATCATTGTACTACAAAAAATCACATGGGCACAAGACTTAAACTTTAATTGGCCAAAATTTCGTATAACTTAAACTTTATATAATCTTAACATATAAAAAAAAAAAGTGATTAATAAGCAAGCCCTGGGTATCGAAAAGTACCTATTATTGTACTACAAAAAATCACATAGGCACAAGACTTAAACTTTAATTGGCTAAAATTTTGTATAACTTAAACTTTGTATAATCTTAATGTATAAAAAAAAAAAAGAGATTAATAAGCAAATATTTTTCTCAAAAAAAAATAAAAAGAATCTGCATAATCAGTAGAGAGATACTAGAAAAATTGTAGTCGAAGATGTAGATTGCAAATAAACCAAAAAATAAATTAAAAAAAAATTAAAAAACAAAAAAAAAAAAAAATAGAGTAAATTAAACAAATATGCCACTCTTAATTAAGAATTTAAGTAGATTAAGTTTTTCTAACTATTATAACACTAGTTGTTTAGTGTGCTCTTGGCTGAATAAGAATTGTACTTGCAATGATTGTAACTTTAACTGATACAATAGACATTCAAAATGTAATCTCTACTAATACAATAGACATTTAAAACATAATTTTTACTGATACAATAAACATTCAAAATGGAATCTCTACTGACTCTGTGACTTCATTACCTATACCAGTATCTCCTGCTGCTAACAACACCACCACTACCACAGCCACAAGTTCAACAATATCTTCAAGAAATACTTCAGCAGTTTGGGATCACTTTACATTATTATCAAATGAACTAAAGGCAAAATGTAAATATTGCAAAAGTATCTAGCTTATAAAAAAGGTATCAAAACATTACATCTCTGGCACTATCTCAAATCTTGTAATAAATTTAAAAAGAATGAAACATGTAATAAACAATCAAATAGTTAAACCCATTTAAATTTTTCTATTTTAAACAAACAGCAATGTATAGAAAATCCAAGTCGAAAAGACCTAGTAGATATGATAATTTGAAATGAACTTTGTTTTTAATTTGTTGAAAAACCTGGCTTTTGTAAATTTTTAAATGAGATTTTATCTTGCTTTAGTATGAGTGCTGATACAGTAAAGCAAGATGTTATGAAAGGATATGATGGAAAAAAAAACTTAATAAGAACAATACTTCAAAATACTGAAGGCAGAATCTCTCTTATATGTAATGTGTAGATGTCATTTCAGCAACTAGGATATTTGACAATCACTGCTCATTTTTTAGATGAAAAGTAGAATCTTATATCTCTTTTAATATTTTTTAAGTTACTTTCCTATCCTCATGCTGGTGCTAATATTGGAAATTGTATTAAGACTATAACTAATGACTACCTAATTATATAATTTTGTCTTGATTTTGTTATTATTTAATATACTATATACTGCATTAATAATGTTATATATTTATAGTTGCAAACTATTACCCTTGACAATGCAAGTTCGAATAATATTGCAATCTGTAAACTAATTAATTCTGCTTCACAGGATTTAATTAACATTAAAAAAGAGCTTTTTCATAATCGCTGTTTTGCTCATATTCTGAATCTTATTATGAAAAATAGATTAAAGAAAATTTCAAAGGCGACTATAAAGGTATTTATTTTATATATTTAATTAATTTTAAATAATACAGTAATCTAATAATATTTTTATAGATTTGCAGTTGTGTTAAGGTAATATATACAACACCATGACGGTATCAAATATTTTTAGATATTTGTAAATATGAGTCTATAAAAGCTACAATCCTGTCTTTAGATTGCGAGACTAGATGGAACTCTACTTTCATCATGCTGCAATTAGCAATAAAAATGGAAAGTGTAATTACTAGAATAAATGATCAGAACAAAACTTTTTTTGATATACTTGATGAGAAAGAGTGGGAAAGGGCAAAAATTATTTGTACTTTTTTAAAATCGTTTTATGAGTGTAAGTTATAGATTTTTGCTATATAGTTAGACCTCTTTAAGTGTACCTTCTATAAGTGCACACCCTCTCTAAATGTATGCTTAAGTGTTAGCCCAAATATATACTTAACCTTCATAAATGCACTTTTTCTTATTATTCTCTATATATACATTATTAAAGTGTAATCCCAAGGACATACACTTAGAGAGATCTAACTGTAGTTATAAATATAAATATTTAAATAAAAATTTGTATTTTAAAAACAAAAATTAATTTATTCTATATCTATTTTAATTAAATGTTGTATTTTAATAAAAAAACAGGCACTTTGAAAGCATCTGCTACTTCTTATCTGACTATCAAGAATATGCTTACCTCTATTCTAAATATTCGTATCCATCTTCTTAATATGAGATTTTATTTGAATGACTTTGTTCATAATACTTACCAACCTATGATAGAAAAATTCAATAAATATTGGAAAGATAATAATCTATTATATATGATTACATGTATTCTCGATCCCTATTATAAGTTGCAGCTTATCTCATTTTATTATTGTAAGAATGAAAATCAAGAAAATGTTGATGAAAAATACAAGATATTCAAACAAAGTATATATATAATATAATTATAGTATAAATAATTTTAAATTTATTTTATTAACATTTTAACAATTTATATTTGAAGATCTGTATTTTGCATATTATTTTCTGTTGGATTACTTTTCATTGGATATTAAATAGCACGTAATGAATAGTGAAGATCCTAGTATTAAAGATAAAGTGTTAATATTTAAAAGTCAACTTGATAATTTTTTTGAATATACTAAGAAAAAAAACCAAACTAATCAACCTGACTCACTTTGGGAAGTTAAGCAGTATCTTGATGAAAATATTGTTGATAAGACCACTGATATTCTTGAATAGTGGAGGCTTAATAAAAGTCAATTTCCAAATTTATCTGCAATGGCCTGGAATATTATTGCTGTACCAGTAACAAGCGTTGCATTCAAACAAATGTTTAGCTGTGCTGGTCATATTATTAATAAAGAATGCACTTTGTTAGATCCAAATACAATAGCTGCATTAATGTGCCAATGAAATTGGCTAGAAGTGTCAACTAAATTTGAATAGAGTTTATAATTATGCAAATATATTTCAATATTATATTTTAATTTGCTTTTAATACAGTATTTGCTTGTATATAACTAGAGCAGTAGAATAGTGGGCTTTTTAGGTACACAGTTGTGTTTTTTTTGATAACACTATTCATTCTTGTTTTTTTTTTAAGTTTTTATCGTATTCTTGATAACTTATATAACTTATATATAACATATAAAAAACTTATATGAATGGTGTATTTTTATATATACTTCACGCTTGGTGTACTTTTTTGATATCTATTTCGATTACTATTTAGCTTTC